CTTAAAAAGAAAAAAAATAAATGTTTGAAAGTAAAACCACGCAAATGATAATAAGTTAACCGATACTTCATCAAAGCCGGTCACCGCAAGTATGATGAATCGCAAAGGAAGCCATCCGTCTTGTTTACGCGGACACCGACAAATTGGTTCATCCCCGTGAAACGTAATGGAGCTTAATATATTTTATGCAAATTCTTTACAGTTTTAGTGATATGGAGGTTTCATATTTTTCATTCCTTTTTGTTTCATAAAGATTGATTTAATTTGCTAAAGCATGGTAGCAAAGGTATTCATACCGTGTTTTTGTACTAATAATAATAATAGTACCTGGGCTACCGAGCTTCGTTCGGAGTTTTTGGCCTATAGTACAATTTTCTTTTATTTTTTAAAAACTAAAACTCGAATATATATTAAAAAAAAAACTTTGTATGCGACCGAGATTCGAACCGTCCAGCTGTGATTGTTGATCTTGCACCTTGGCCACTTGACCACGATTACCATATTTCGCGTGGAATAATGCAAAAGAAAACTGCATGACAACTCGAAAACACGCGTTTTATCAGATATAAGACTAATCTAGATCGACTTATCGCCCCCGAAACCTCCTTCATAATAAATTTCATGAAAATCGTTGGAGCCGTTTCCGAGATTCAGATTATATATTACAAGAATTGCTCGTTCAAAGATATAAGATTTGTTGTACTACATATATTTTGTTTATTAATCATATGATTAATTATTTTATAACAAAATTTACATGATTTTTTATAGTTTAAAGGTTTTTCTTGAGTTTTTGTAAATAGAGGTTGCGATGAGATTTTTTGCGATTATACTATATCTCAGTGGCCAATTACAAGGCTTTCATTTTTTGGTTAATGCAAATAAAAATAGTATAGTAACTACAAGTTAACATTCAATGTACATAATTAATTTTCATGTGCAAATTTCAATATTTTTTAAAGAATGAAAAAAAATCTTAATTATCCAAAAAAATTATCTAAGCTAGAGGAAAACAAAGAAAATATACTGGCAAATAAGAGCACGGCGGGCGTGAACTGATTTCTAAGAGCAAAGCTGTTCTATATTTACCTTTACGAAAATAATACGTGGAATAGAGGCTTTGTACTTTATAATAAGAAGCTTCTTTGTTTACAAAGGCGACCATCTATTCGAAATTCATACAGGCACCAAGGCAGCTTAGTTTTCTTTCAGATTTTTAAAGAAATCTTACATATATTTTTAAATTCTGCATGAAACAATGCATTCACGATATAAAGTAAGCCAGAGGAGTATAAAGAATAATATCATAAAATACCTGCATATAAGCTAATACTGTAAATACTGTCAATAAAACGTCCAACATTATCGAAGAAAGAAATAAAATACGATCGAAATCTGTTCAGCGGTTTCAAGCGTGAAAAAGTAACAAACAAAGTTACTTTATCATTTATAATACCAGCGGAAAAAAACAAATCTATCCCATGGGATCCGTATATTTTTTCCGGGATAAAAAGTAGCCTATATGTTATTCCAGACTATAATCTATCACTGTGCCTTTCATCCAGATCCGTTCAGCAGTTTTGGCGTGAAAGAATAACAAATATCCATACTCACAAACTTTCGCATTTATAATATTAAAAATACGGATAAGTATGGATTTATGGAGATTACTACGGTACGTTTTGAATAGATATAAATAGTTATTAGCCAGCGATAACCATATATATATTTTTGTTAATAATATTGACAAATATTGACATTAATATTTATATGATACTAACGTCACTCAATTGTTTTGCCTTCCAGGAACCTCTCCACTAAAACTGAAACTAAACTAAAATATCAGATTATGGTATGGTATTAAAGTTCAAATTGACTTTTAAGTATTATTACGAGTCTTTTGTATGGGAGTATAGAAAAGTGTTGTTTTTAGACTTTATTAGGCAATTTTTTAAATGTTTCTCTCCGTAAGAACTATCCTCGTACTTCAAGGAATATTCTAAAAAAAGAATTAGCCAAATCGGTTCAGCTGCTCTCGAGATTTGCGCTTACCAACACATTCAGCGATTCATTTTTATATTATAGATAATTAATAATAAGTGGAGAATATAAGAATAAGTGGAGTGATCCCAGTTAATTATATGACGCGGACAGAGACACGGGCAAACTCGATTATTATGTAAATATGCTACGTAATATTCAAGAACTGCACTTTACTGTAGTTTCAGTCACTAAAAAAGTAGCTATAAATAAATCTAATTTAGATTTTCAGTTGAAATATCTAAGAGTTTTTAAGACACTAACCTCAAAAGCTTTTTAACTAAAGCTCGAATTGAAGTAACAAATGTAATATTATTATAATATTTATGAAATAAATCATTATTAAGAAGTAGCGAAAATAGTTCAGACAAGGCTAAGTCTGGCAATCGTTGAAACGGTCATCCATCTTATTTACGTGAAAGGACGATAAAAGGACTAGGGATGAAAATGTATTCACTCTATTACACTTAAACCTATGTCACTGAACGGGAAAATATATTATATTCGAATAATTATTTTGTAAGCTTTTATTTTTATACTAAACTAGTTTTTTCCACCGGCTTCGTTCACCTGGTAACTAGGGCGGGATCGTCAATGGTGGCCTATCCCCAGGACACTATCTATGTCCTTTTCCGATTTTATATTATTTAAATGAAATTATTATTTAATTGAAAAACATAAATATTTAACTATTACATGCATATACATATATTATTTAATTTCGTTATCCTATAAAAATGTATATTACATAGGATAAAGAATTTTATTTGGTGACTATAAAAACAGCCTTCAGTCATATGTATTGTACATATTATAAGTTTAAAGCGGCTAAAAGCTATATACAACTTAAAGTTACTTATAATATACTAGCTTTGCCCGCGGCTCCGCCCTCGTTCAGATGACCAAAAACCAAATTCTTAGGTTTTACTAGTATGATCTTACATTGCAGTTTTTGTATTTTTTCGTAGAAATGAGACATTTTCCCGCGGTAAAAAGTATCCTATATGTTGACCCGGATAACCAGCTATCACCGTACCAAATTTTATCAATATCCCTTCAGTGGTTTTTCTGTGATGCGGTAACAGAAAGACAGACAGACAAACAAAAAGACAAAAATTCTAAAAACCATACATAGATTCGGCCTCTGTATCGATAATAATATTTATTTCAATAAGATTTTTCAAAAAATATTTAATATACAGAATCGGCTTACAATTTTATTATATGTATAGATTTACTAAACTTTCGAAGGCTCTAAATTTCCAAATTTTAACATGAAACAAAATCCAAGTAAGATTATGCTTAAGTAGTAATTTTATCGGTTCAACCTGGCAAGTAGAGCAGAAAGATGACTTTCCAGAAACTTTATCGAGTACTTAGTATGCTCTTCGCTTGTTCTTGTTTACATAAAATCAGCAAGCAATTCGCATATTATAATCTGTTTAATAAATCTTATTTTTGTAAATATTTTCGCTTATAAACAAGTATTCAAATTCTCGGAATTTCTGTTATATTTTATTGTTTCTTATATTAATTGATTTCATTATTAATATTTGGTATATAAATTCTAACTGAGTCGAATCTGTACTAATGTACTTTTATTGTATTTTTGGGAAAATCTTATTGAAATAGTCATTATTATCGATACGGAGGCCGAATTTATAGTTTTTAGAGTTTTTGTATGTCTGTCTGTCTGCCTTTCTGTCTGTTACCGCATCACGAGAAAACCACAAGACAGATTTTGATGAAATTTGGTGTGATGATAGCTGGTTCTCCGGATCAACAAATAGTGATACTTTTAACAGCGGGAAAATATCTCATCTCCGAGAAATGTATACTAAATCTTAAAACGTAATTAAGGACGAACCCGAGCAAAGGTGAGTCGCTAGTTATGTTTAAAAAAACGAATTTCTAAAATATATAATTCGAAAATAGTCAAATGTATTTAGATACTAGCTACTTACCCTTGTTTTGCTCGGGTACCTCGTTAGGTACGTTTTAAATAGATATAAATTATAGTTATTATTAAACATGTTAATTTTGTTTTTACAATTATTCTGTTATTCGAAATAAATCCAACAAATTTTCATGAAAATTGGTCCAGCCGGTCTTGAGTTATAAATAGTGTAACAAGCCCTACTTTCTTTCATATATATAAAGATAATGGATTTGAATAACATTTAAACTTATAAACACCTTAATTTAAATTTATATTACTTTTCTCTTGTTAAAGTTTTCGAGTATGGCCGATGAATAAATCATTTTTTTTAATATTCCTTAGAAGATACTTCTTAGTTATAAATATAAAAAAGTAAATTTTCTAATTTCTCCACATAAATAATAACAAAAAAAAATCTATGCTAATAACTAAAAAAATATTTATATTTTGTATTATCTTTATTTTTGATGCACATGTTAAAGTCACAGCTATAATATAATATTTTTCTTTCACAGCAAAGAAAACATTTCTTCGAGTTCGTTGACAGATCCCCAACAAAGAGATCGATAAATAGGCGATTAGTTACTTAGCCGACGTAAGCGTGAAAACGCGTTAAGTATGTGTTTATAGAGGAAAAATATGTAGTACTTTTTCGTTATTAAATAAAATTTACGTTTTTGTATTATAAATAGTTTGTTGGATCGTTCTTTTGAATACGTATATAATAGTATATGTGCTTTGAACTTAATTATTCATTTTGATGGAAAAATATTTTTTTCATATAGTTTTTAGTTTATCTAGAACTAAATAATATATATCCTATATATTTAATAATACATGGATATTGTGTAGTATATATTTTACTATAATAAGAAAGAATTTTATTTTATAAAATATCACATTTTATTATTTAGAAACTTTTTCAGTTCATTTTCAGTAAAAACAAAGACTAAGGGTTTCTTTGAGGAGTTATTAACGCCTTTGTTTCAGAACCATGTACTACCCAGGGGGGTTGTGAGAAATGACGCGCACTACAGCCGCCTGCCTCTTTACAGTCCATTTTCTCTCGTGCATTATTGGTGAGTTATTCGCGCCCGTGCCCTGCTTTCGGGAAACGGTGTAAACGATTTTAGACCTTATGTGTCCATTTGCAACGATGCTTTTATGTAAAAACGTGACGATTTATGTGTCAATTTTTGGATAATGTATCGTGTTGAGTATTATTTTATGTGATGTTTAGGAACTTTGTATTTTAAGTAAATAAACTTTGATTAGCTATATTTATTTTTGTCTTTGCGAGAAACGACTTGAGACGACGGGCGTGAATCTGCCTCATTTTCTAATAAAACGAAGCCACTTTCTACAAACAACGCTTTTTTCGTCGCCCTTTTTTATAATTTATATATACATAATATATATACTTATATTAAAAGGAAAGATTTGCTTGTTTGTTTGTAATATATAAACTCTCAAACTATTGAACCTATTTAAATAATTATTTCATCATTAGAAAACTACATTGGCGAAAAGTTACATAAGCTATAAATCTATACTAATATTATAAAGAGGTAAAGTTTGTGAGTTTGTGATGTTGTAGGGGGTAATCTCTGGATCTACTGAACAGATTTAAATGAAATTCGGTAAGAAGATAGTTTGAGACTCTGGGAAGGACTTAGACACTTTTTGTCCCGGAAATCATCCCCTAATGGGGTGAAAATCGGGATGAAAGATTGTAGTGGGAATCAAGCTGGGGACGAACCCGAACGGAGCGAGGGCGAGTCGCTAGTACCTATATAAAGTTACATTTTACTTCAGAAGTATATGCCTTTTTTTTAACGTTGGGAAATGCATTTACGCACGAGGTGTGGGACTCACCGGCAAAGCCAGTAATACCCACTAAATCCCAACAAATCCTTCCCCCGTCTTAATGGGGCGTCGCAGGATCGCTTACGCATTCAACTACGATGCCCCGACAGCAGGTCTGTCGAAGCAGACCACAACAACCACGGGATTGCTCCAAGGTCCACTCTGCTATCAGAGAAGTACCAGGAGCAACCCACATGGTACAAAGCCACCCGAAGAGGGCCACCTCCCATCACCCACCAAAGTGAGCACCTCCCTGTGCGTTTCTTGGCTTCGCGCCCGGCTGTATTGCCGGGCACTACTGAACCCACCATGACAAGGTGACCGCACGTTGGGGGGGGGGGGAGCCTGAAATATCATATCTAAGGTCTCTAAAGAATTATAAAATCTTGTGTTTTTTATATTTAAGGTACTAAATACACAAATAATATGTACCTCCTTAAAATATATTTTTTATACAAATATTTACATTTTAATCAAAATAGCCTATTCTAGCTACAGTTTGTTACAACGAAATATTTGCTAAATTACCAGAATACGTAATTACTGCAAACGTGGAACGTTACTGAGCTCAGAGATCATAATTTAAAATTTAACACTTAATCAAGTTGACAATTAGGATTTACGTCTTCTCCCTAAGGACCTTCTATTTTCCACGCCATTTCTTTCCAAGACCCAAGACTTCGCGTGGCATGATTAATTTTAAACGTGAAAAAGTCACATTAATTTTCACATCTAATTTTAATGTATAATACTAGCGAAAATATTTTTTATGTTTTTATTTATATATCTATAAAAGAAAAATCGAATGTTTGTTGGTATGCATCGCTGGAAAACACTGGATCACTTTAGTTGTTTTTGTTCGTGATAGTCCGAGTAAATTTTCAGGAAACCCTTTCATTCCGATTTGGGAGTCTGCAATATTGGATTTAGAATGACATCACTTATCTAACCATGCATTGTCATCTAAACTAAACGTGTATGCAAAATTGAATGTTTGTTGGTATGCATCGCTGGAAAACACTGGATCACTTTAGTTGTTTTTGTTCGTGATAGTCCGAGTAAATTTTCAGGAAACCCTTTCATTCTGATTTGGGAGTCTGCAATATTGGATTTAGAATGACATCACTTATCTAACCATGCATTGTCATCTAAACTAAACGTGTATGCAAAATTTCAGCTCAATCAGTTGAGGATAACTGCTTTAAAATTCAGTTGCAAAATTTGTCTCAAACAAACATACATACAAACATTGCAAGTTAAAGAAAAGCTTGTAATTAATTCTATTTTTATGACAACATTATTCAGCGATTTTTCAGTAACAAGTAAAAATTATAAAACTGTTGATTTTCCTGTTACTTACTTCACCCTAATTCCTTCATCCCAACACAAAGTTTCCATTACTGTCATAAATTTGCATAATGTAGGAATCTTGTCCACCCCTGAACAGTATGAGAAAGTGCTTTATTTTAGATCCAGTGAAGTCAAATTATTACCAACTTTATAAAAAGAGTAGTAACATGTTCGACATTTTATTTTTTTTAAATTAATATACCTTTAACGGTTTTTTTGTGATAATAGAAGACTAACAAAGATGAAAGTTCAATAAGATTTAAATACTAGATGTTGACTTCAATTATAATTTAAATACGATGATACATATCGTATGATACATAAATTAATAACATATAATCGTGTGTGTATTGCTAATGTAAATCCTTCACGCTGAAGTCTGGACAAGTTTGAATGGTTGACGGATAAACTATATATTATAATGGGAATGACAATATCCATTTTTTCATTCACTTTTAGAGTTCCGTATCCAAAGGGTGCCAACGGAACCCTATTACTAAGCCTCCGCTGTCCGTTCGTCCGTCTGTCAGTGGGCTGTAACTTATGAACCGTTATAGGTAGAGAGGTGAAATTTTCACAGGGTATGTATATCTATTGCCGCTATAACAAAAAATAATAAAAATAAATAAAATTAAAAATTCAAGAAACTTCTTTTTAACGCTCGTAATCAATCGTTGAAGTTAATATGCTACATATATAGAGTAAAAGTCATCTTAATAAAAATTGCATGTACGATGGTAGGATTTTCTTAATTCAGAATGTTCGTATCTGTTATATTATCGAAATATAATAACTGAAAATATATCAAAAATATTATTAATTTAAATAGTTACTTATCCAGACTTTTATAGTATGTACAAATAATTTAAGCACTCAAGTTAATTTATACGGTTTGCGTGTGAACTGTGAACGCTCGTTTTAATTCTTGAATAATATTAAACGACATTATTTATGACAAGCAGTTATAGCAAATTTTGATGCAATAATAATTAATTTATCGTGGATATTGTTAAATAAAGGCAGTGGTAGCCCAGTGGTAACGCGCTCGCTTGAGAAACCGAGTGAAACAGGTTCAAATGCCAGGTCTCCTGTAATATTTTCATGAGCTAATTGGTTCCAACTTATTTACCCCTTATCTTAGGGTAAAGGAAAACATCGTGAAAAAATCCTGCATATCTGAGAGAACCTAGCAAGTTTTCGAAAGACATGTGAAGTCCGCCAACCCGCACTTGGCCAGCGTGGTGGACTATGGCCTGATTGATACCCTCGTATTGAACGTTTGTGCCCAACAGTGGAACGTTAAAAATGGCTGCATAAATTGTTATATATGTACATCTGCACAGACACAATGCTGTTACTCCCACGTCTGATTATTTTACGATATCTCATCATCTATGAGTTACTCCTATAGTCTGAGAATCGTGATTTATTACAAACGTTTGAAGTAGCATGTAGTGCTGGCTAACTCTGGACTACGCTATGATAATATAAGCACTATGTTTAGATACGCGTTAGCTTCACACATGTAACTATTGAAAAAACTAGTAACTATCGTCCCTAGATGCCCTTCGCATTTATAATACTACGGGAACTCTGATAAGGGACGATATTCTTTAACTTAATTCATAAAATATATAATTATGATGTAGTTTATCGACAGCATATTCCAAAATTTATAAATTATAACCGTATGAAAATCGGTACAGTAGTTTCTGTGATTGCAATCACAAAGTCAGTGCGGCGGTGAACTTTAATATGATATTTATTGATAAATAAAGCTAATTATTGCATCAACAGTAAAAAAACGTGTGTATCTGTACTTATAAACGTACGTAAGAAGTTATAGGTAAGTACCTGTAACAGAACAAAAATAGCTAAAGATTTCATCCCGTATGTCACAACTCTCTGTTTGTAAAAGGAATGCAGCTAACTTCATCTATCGCTTTCAGCTAACTTCATCATGTCATGTAATGTCATGTAAAAATTTTACTCTCATCTCCATGTTCATGTCTGTGACGACTCGTGAGATAGGTTGGCGTGAACAAAAATCGGTCAGGAGGTGGAGGACATTACTATTTGCATAAACGGAATCTCACCTGGCCTAAAAAAGGCCAATGACGACACCTGACCTCCAATTAAATATATGCTGTATTCAGATTTATTTTCATTGTTCGATATTTGTGTCTCAAATGACATGTCCAAGCATATTTTTCAGTTATCGAGTACTGAATATGCTATTTTATTGGTGGAGAGCATATTGGGTTCTGGTGTTTTAATTAAATAGTACTGAATTAACCATATTTTACAGAATATATCAAGTGCATATATATGAAGTTTAAAATATAGTAGATAATTGTGTACAAAAAAGAAAGATTTTCTTTATTTGTATTCAGCCCTTTTTTAAATATTGCTGTATATGCTGTATATATATCTCATCAATACAAGGTGATTCAGTCATAGTCATACAGGTTGGCAGACTTCACATATCTTTCGAAAACTAGTTTCCTCACGATGTTTTCCTTCGGACAAGATAAGCGTAATCATGTTAGAAACGATTCGCATATGAAAATATAAGGGTTGCAAGACTCGCGATTTGAGCCCGCTTTACTTGGTGTCCCAAGCTAACGCTGACCACTGACTTTTACATTTATTGATAGAGTAGCGACTCACCCTCGCTTCGCCCGGGTTCGTTGTTTACCCATAGAAACTTTCATCTCGGATGATTTCCGGGATAAAAGTACCCTATGTCCTTCCCAGGATCTCAAACTATCTTCAAATTACTTACCAAATTTCATCTAAATTGGTTCAGTGGGTCCAGAGATTACCCCCTACAACGTCACAAATTCACAATCGCACAATCTCACAAACTTTACCTCTTTATAATATTAGTATAGATATATATTTTATTTTTATATAGTTAAAGCAATTTATCAGCTGCTAATCGAAACTGGTACCTTTTATATTACTTATTAATTAAAATTACTTGTAGGTAAACTAAGTGGATTACTTGTAAAACTGTCTCATAAATAAAAAATCTTCTATCATAAATCTTTAAACAAACGTGTACTGGACGTTCTAGCAATTTGTGGAGAGCCAAACTCCAATAACACGATTGTAGAGAAATAATCCGTGTCCAGATTGTTATTTAATTAAACCTCTAAAAATAAAAAAGTAAAAAATCTGTTAGGACTTTTCAGTTACGTAAAATTTATGTTAGATTTATATTTTTATTCTGAATGTTTAGTTATTTCCAACGTTGTCTACAAATCATGAATTTGTTATAGTATTTTACAAAAAAAAAATCAAATTGTTAAACTATAGCAAAACTAATAGACCAACCGGAATCCGTTATTTTTATGAGAAAAAAAAATATTGAAAACCTGAAATTTTATGACTTTAAAATGTTAGCAGTATACCTGCTATTATATATCTGCTAACATTTTAAAATCATAAAACTTCAGATTCAGACAAACCGGATTCCGATTGGACTATAATTAAAATTATAAATTAAGATTTTTGAAATGTTAATGTACTTCGGTTATATTTTACATTTTTTTCAAAAATAATGCATAATTGTGTGTACTACGAGTATTTATAATAACGTTGGAGACATAAATAGTATATTATTAACTTCTATGATCGATTACAAACATGAAAAAACTGTTTCTTGTATTTTCTTTATTTCTATCTAATGTTTTGTCGTTATAGTGTCAATAGAAATAAATATATAGAGTATATATTGTGAGTGAAAATTTAAACTCTGCCTATTACGGTTCATAACATACAACCCTCTGACAGACGGACGGACGGACAGTGGAAGCTAGTAATACGGTTCTGTGGTAAAAAACCTTAGATTCTCTCGTGACCATGATTGTTGTAAAGCATTCGGAACTTCGGCAACCAAAAATCAAAATAAATCCGACAGAAAAAAATCCGAATAGATAGTTCAACAAGTCAAATCCCCCGTAAATATATTGTTGTTTACTATTGAAACCTATTTAGCCTAGAATATCGATTTAAGCTTCTTGCCTCTTGGCACACAATATGAGAAAGCTTAAATTTTATTGTTAGTTATAAGTACGAGTATATAGTTATACTCGTAGTAGGAAAGGAAATTTTATAATTCCTTACAATGGAGCTTCATTATGGTTGCCATGGGATGTTATTTATTTTATAGCATTTTTTTGATCTATACTATTGTACTTTCGTAATATTTTTGTTGTTATTTCATACAATAATAATTTTAAACTGACTTTGCTTATATGTCAATATTTTATTACTTTTTAAGCAATATCGCTTATTAAACTTGTTTGAATAAGGATACCAAAACATTTGTTATAAAATTATACTTTTAAAATTATTTATTAAACCAAATTCCATGCACATTATTCCTCTAATAATGGCGTAAAAGAATGAAAAAACCATGACATTTCAAAATGCTTAACCAAAGTTTTGACAAAGGAGGCCGATTCATTATTTCTTCTAGATTGACAAAGTTTTAATAGTGTTTGATGGGAGCTGTACCATAACGAATTTATATATATATATATATATATATATACATATATATATATATATATATATATATATATATATAAAATCTTATTGAAATAGTCTATATTAGCGATACAGAGGCCGAATCTATAGTTTTTAGAATTTTTGATTGTCTGTCTGGATTCACGAGAAAACCTCTGAGACAGATTTTGATGAAATTTGGTATGATAATAGCTGGTTATCCGGGTCAACATAAGGGTACTTTTTACTGCGAGAAAATATCTCATCTCTAAGAAATAGACGAATCTTAGCGGAGCAAATCTGAGTCACTAGTTCTAGTTATATTTTTGTAACACGGTAACCGTTCTTGCAAATAAATCAAGACAAATATCTAAATTATTATAGCTGCATCTACCTCAGAGATGTTCTCTCAAACAGCTTTTGTAAGTCATAAACATAAATAATAAATTATTTCTATTTTCAAGCTCTTCCTTTTACGGGTTAATCTAAAAGAATATGGTAACCTTATTCCGCTTTCGGTTAATGGTGTTTTTAGTTGTTTTTTTTTATTATACACAAAATATAAGTATTTGCTTAATATTTACATAATACTTGGTATATGTATGTATTTAAAGTTATATATGTGTAGTATATCAACTATCTGGTATCCACAACACAAGCCTCGTAGCTTACCATGGAACTAGATAGTGCTGTGTGTTGATGTTCGAACATATTTATTTATTATAGAACTGAATTTATTTTTAGTAGCCTAAGATAGATCAGACCTTGCGAATAGTAGTTTATCCTATCCCGATCGTGGTCTTTGACTTACAGCGGTGTTCAATATTTCTATCTATCTAAAGTTTTTATTACTAGAGATACGATATAAGCTTTATTCAAATTAGGTATTTATGTCAAATTCATATCGCTAGTAAGAAATTTAGAGGTAGATAAATTTTATTGGACGCCGCTGTTAATCGAAACTCCACAATATTAGACATTGTTAATTAATAAACTATCTCTAAATGATGAAAGGCAACATAGAAAGGTAGTAAAGTTATTGTGTTATTTTGCAGTATGTCGCCAGGACAGCGGTAACAATAGGCCTCGAGACCAAAGTACGGTCTCTGAATCATCACGGCGATTTCGTACAGAGTTCTTAGAAGACTGGCCACAGGCACCAGGGGCGCCTTACTTCGATCCTAGCACTCCTGACAACGTGACCGGCTTAGTTGGACACCCAGTTACATTGTTATGCAAAGTGAAGAATTTACAAAATCGAACAGTAAGTTTTCCTATGATTGTACGTATGAATATATTAAATTATAAATTTACTTAAATTTGAATATTACAAAAGGCTACAGATCTGCAATTTTGGAAAGGAGCTGATACTCTTACACTGCTGGACCGATATTAACCAAACATACCTAAAAACCACCGCAAGGAAACTGGCTTTCAAATGAAAAATAACCGCATCGAAATCGGTCCATCCGTTTGAGAGCTACGATGCCACAGACAGACACACATACACAAACAGACATCTATATGTATAACACCCCTCTGTTTGCGTTAAAAATACCACATCTCAAGGACCAGGTATAACTTTACAATATCAAAAAATGTATAGAAATATTTAAAAAATGGATAGAATGTTACGTGGTACGAATATTATGTTATTTTTAATGTTTACTAGCGATGTCGATGGTAGAACATCTAGTTGCCTAACATATTGAAATATATTTTTTTTTATTATAAACAAGAAGAATGTATGCAAATGTTAGAGCCTAAAACCGAACACAATATTAATAAAATTGCTTTACTTTGAACATAACTTGTGACAATACATAAACTATGATCATACCCTGAGCTCTATTGTTTCTGTTTCAGAGCACGTTTACATAAATAACTATAGAGTTAACTTATAATTTCATTTTGTCTATTATTTATGTATTTCAAAGATTTAACAATTATTACGAAAATTAAAATATAAGAGTAGTTTCTTGTATCTAATTGTAAGTATTTAACAATTTATTTAGCACTTTTAATTCTAAGAACCTGAAGCTCGTTTAAAGATGATCGTTATTAATAAATTAAATATTTTAATTAATGAAATAAACAAAAATATTTATATTTATAATAAGTCGAAAAAGGTATGTTTGTACATTATTGTGTACTAGTGACGCACCCTCGCCTCCCTTGGGTTTATTTCCAGGTATACAAAAGCATAATTATATCACTTTCAAACCCTTCAATTATACTTGTAGTTGACAAATGATGAGTGGGATGTAGGTGTATTCAAGTATAACTTTCACCCCTTTTTTACCCTTTATAAGTTTTATTTTTGCAGTAAAAACTAGATTTCTCCTATGTCCAACCTGTCTACTCAAAATTTATTCAAATTGGTACAGCGGTTTAGGCGTAAAAACATTAAAAAATAAATAAACAGACAGATTTTTATATGCATATATTTAACTCCAGTAGAACTATTTATATTATAATTTGAAGTTACAAAAAACTAAAAGGACACACTTTAGTAAAACTAACAGCAGCAAAAAAATAACAACACTTTCTTATGTCTAGCTCTTTTAACTACAAAAACGTATAGTTTTAGTAATAAAAACATAACGCGTTTTATACATAATGTATAGTAAGCAAGATTCAAAGTATAATATATTATATTGACTTGTAATATTACTAATACATCTAAACTCACAATACAGGTTAAATTGTGTTCTATGCATTCCTACACCATTTATTCGATTGTGATGAAACTTTGGTGAGTCCTGCGTAGGTCCGCAAAAGTTCCTGGCCCAAAAAAAAAAATGAATAGCAAGTATTGAATAGTAATAGTAAGACGTTAGTATAATAGAAACGTAATGTAAATATAGGTAAAAGAAAGATATATAGATAAAATATGAAAAAAAACTTTGCTAATAATATACATATAAAATATTCTGTAGGTAGATCTAAAACATTTGGCGTCTCCATTTCATCCTCGTTGCACTGAAATTCGCATCTTAAGAACGGAAGTGGGGTATAAATTTCAGGATATGTCGTAGCGTACAGCGGTAAATCGACGTGTAGAAAATTCCGTCTAATTTACTACAGTCTTTAAATCTTCTTAATGTTGTTAAAACGTAAGTTGTTTTAGTCGCTTTTGGAAAATTTTCTTTTAAAGGTGTATCTGTATGTGTATTCAGCCCTTTTTTTTAAAGTCCCACTGCTGGGCACGGGCCTCCCTTCAATACGAGGGGGATCAGGCCATAGTCCACCACGCTGGCCAAGTGCGGGTTGGCGGACTTCACATGTCTTTCGAAAACTTTCTAGGTTCTCTCAGACATGCAGGTTTCCTCACGATGTTTTCCTTCACCGTAAGGCAAGTGGTAATCATGTTAGTAATGATTCGCACATGAAAATATCAGAGGTGCGAGACCCGGGATTTGAACCCGCTTCACTCGGTTTCTCAAGCGAGCGCGTTACCACTGGGCTACCACTGGCCTAATATCTGTATAAAGCTTACATTAGTTTGATACTTTACTTATAGTTACACTAGTGTCGCTCACTGCTTCATTCTGTAGTTAATTTGATTTTTCTAGTAATAAAAACATACATAGGATTTCATTATATTCCGATAGTTTTCAAACCCTATAATTCTGTCCTGTTGGTTGTTGGTTGATGTTTTACATTTAAACCACCTACCTGCCCTTTAGCTTCACAAGCCATGTAGTTTTTGAGATTTCAAGGTATGTCAGTAAATAAATTATACCTTTACTTAAAAACGAAACTCCTGACAAAATAATTTAACTATATGTATTTTAGTAACATTGAAAACTGTTATTGGTTAAGTTTTGTTAATTAATTTCTTATCTATATTTTTTGTACCTTTTGTTTCCAAAATAAATAAATAAATACTGTGTTTAAAAATGGATCTTTGTATTTATAATAATTTATGATACAATGAACACTGCCAAATTTATTAAGGTTCGAGTAAAACTTGACGAAATATTCAAAGAAATTTTTTCGAACAATTAATATAGAGGAAAATCGTTTATTAACAAAATATTATGATTCTAAGTGGGTCAAATTGCTGTTGGATCATTAAAATACACGTTATTGAGTAAAAAATATCTGTAGATGGATAATCTTATCAAGCATTTTTATAGCCTATGTTTAATTTTATTTCATTTATTTCAGCTTGATTTATATCAGTTGGTTACTACTACACCAGATGCGATTTATATTTTGGCACGTTGTGTTATTATTATTTACCTCGAAATTTTCATAACACGACTCTACCAAGTAAAATTTAACAGACTAGTCAATATAAAATCGATAAATAATTATTCTTCGATGTCAAAATAATAGAATTCATCGAATTAAGTCCAAACTCGAAAATTTTACTAGGAGGTATTGAATTTTCTCTCTATCTATCCATCAGCTCGAGGTTATTAAATGCAGACATGTAAAATTTGCATGATAATATTATATTTTACCTACAAAGTTCTAAAGCGATACGATAATTTAAATAAAGGTTAAAATCAACTTCCAAGACTTGAATACACTGTTACAAGGGAAGTTAAGTAAAGTGCTCTCTTTGCCCTGTACTTTCTTAGTGAAAGCATCTTTAGAATCTCTTCAGTTGTTTTAGATATTGTGTAAACAAATAAACAAATTGCACTTTATTGTAATATCACTAAAGCTATTTTATATATTTTACTTTAGTTGTTTTATCATTTTTATTCTAAAATGAGGAAAAAAGTGGCGAATCTTTCATATTATCACCTAATGACTATGCAAAATTGATAATAAATTCTGACCACTTCCTCTTAAGCTAAAAAAACAGTATTTGAGTTTAATGAATTACAAACTAGTAAAAGTTAATGGTAAAATAATATATTCATTATAAACCCTTTACTACATTGGCACCTGGACGTTCGAGCTTCTTGGAGTTTTTGGCCAAAAGTTCAATTTTCTTTTAAAAAAAAACTCCAATTCATTGTGATTCGATCCCAGACACTTGTGATTGTCAATCTTGCGCCTTGGCCGCTTGAGCACGATGCTTATGTCCGAGCGTGCGAAATTAGCGACCATATTTTGCGTGCGAAAGAAATCTACAAAAAAACTAGAAAACACGCGTTTTCCCAGACATAAAACTAATCTAGATCTATTTTTCGCCCCCGAAAACCCCCACATACCAAATTTCGGCAAAACCGTTAGAGTCGTTTCCGAGATCGCCGGTATAAATATACAAGAATTGCTCTTTTAAATATATTAGATTAGATATACAAATAATATAATGTTTTTTTTCACAAACAAAAAAATCTGAAACACGATTCAAAACCATAAAACCAAAAATATCTATTATGAGCATACGACAATTTAAAAATACAGTCAACTATAAAGTAAAAAGCAGATGCTGCCACTTCTTTTAGTAAATTCTTCTGTTCAAAAGATAATTTAAAACAAAAACTTGTAGACTTTTTGCTGACAGCAGTGAAAACATTTAGCTAAGACTCCTCGAGGGCATTTTGTGCAAACGTCGTTGGCTTCATTTTTATTTTATTCTTTTCTAAGCTATTTTTCATTTGCGCTACGTATTGTATTCTTGAACTATATTTATTGCTAGTACCTCGCCCTGGCTTCACTTAAGTGTTATCTCTTTGGTTTAAAAAAACTTAATATAAAAATATACTGATAAGTTTTCACATAACAACGATATGTCTAAATAACGTAAAGGCTGGCATAAATATGTGTACAATTTAAGATAGACCATATAAAAGGTTCGACGTATAGGTATATTAGTTTGTTCAAAATATTTACTCAAGAGACGATAAGTACAATATTTACATACATATATGTATATATTATTGTATGTGGTAATAAATAAATACTTTAGACGTTTACATATTAAGATAAAATGCCATTACAGTTTAAATTGACCAACTATGGCCTGAAAATGACCAATAATAAATATATTAAGAAACTAGCATTGCCCGCGGCTCCGCCCGCGTTAGGATGACCAAAAATAAAATTCTAAGGTTTTACAGATTAGTATAATCTTACATTGCATTTTTGATTTTTTTTCTCAGAAATGAGTGATTTTTCTGCGGTAAAAAGTATCCTATATGTTGACCCGGATAACCAGCTATCACCATAGCAAGTTTAATCAAAATCTCTCGAGTGGTTTTTCTGTGATGCGGTAACAGATAAACAAACAGACAGACAAAATTTTTAAAAACTATAGATTCGGCCTTTGCACCGATAGTAATGTTTATTTCAATAAGA